TTGACATATTATTATTAAACTTTATAATTATTATCATATTATCAATAAATACATTGACATTGGGTAGTTTTGTATTATTATAAACGTATTAAAAATATGCTGTGTTCGAAATCAAGGTAGTCGCGATAATGCACAAGTGAAATCAAGGTAGTCGTGACGAGTCGGCGGTAGTTGCGATAACGCACAAGTACCTAATTTTTTAGTTTAGAAGACGTCTACGGGTCTACGTAGATATTTTGGATTTATAATATTGAGTCGGATTTTTGAACAGGAACCCAGTGTTTTGTATATTGTGTAAAATAAAACATAGTATTATGATTGATTTTAAAATTAGATATCATTAGTTTTAGCTGTAGTGTAATTCGTGTATGTTTAACCTTTATATAGTATAGGTACATAATTGATATTAGCTAGGTAATAAARTTATACTAAAATAATTTAATTGAATATAAAAACGTATATAAGGCTAGTAAGTATAGTTGAATTCTTATGAATTTGTTCTAATTTATTACCATTGTACCATAGATACTGCACCATAATTAATATTGAAACATGAATATTGATTATCCCATCTTTGGTCGGTRCTTTATATAATTTATAAAATAATATAATATATAATATACAATAGGTAACTCAATCGTAAAATGATAATGATTATGATAAACAACAATAAATTATTTTAAAATATAAAAATAAATAYTATTAAAGGAGCGTAGGTACCTATACGATATAATATGGGTAGGTATGCCGTATAGGAGGTAGGTACTTTTATAGGTAGGTTTAGATACATGATACTTGTGGATCTCTGACAACCAAAAAATAGGATCAATAATACACACATTTTGTTCACTAATGTTTTTTTTTTCGTCTTATTACAATATCGATGCTTCTTCGTCAGGTATGTTCGTCAGATACGGATCGCTGTCCCAATAATACCGCGGAGATCCTTCTGATACGCAGAGCTGTTGTTCTAGAGGTTCTGTGCCCTCTACCCAGTACATGACGTAAAAATTGCACATTTCGTCGTCACTAGTCGCTCTGTGAACCGAATAAATAAAATAACCATCGGAGGATTAACCACAGTGACTGGATAATAATATTTAATGAGTCATGTCGATCTTACCCGATTCTTGTAACGGTGTTTCGTCTGCTTTCCATTGTGCACCTGGCAGCCTATATAATACATACAACACGTCATGATATACAGGAGTTTGAATTATAATTATATAATACATGTTTATGATAGAGTAAGTAAGTAGGTATAGACTGTAATGGTACCTATATTAGCGCCTAACCGCGGCATAATTGGTATCAAACGGTACTTGCTGTGGTAGTGTGGTATGATATTATATACTGAGACACTCAAATCTCAAAAACGATCCGAAATTTCGACGGTAAAATATATTAATAAAATTAATAAACGATTATTTTAGTAGTCGTTTATTCGTTTTCAGATTTATAATAAATTAATATGCGTAAACTAATAWTTTTTATACTACCTACAACAAATYACAATACTAATAGTTAGTAAAATTATTCGGAATTGTATTATTTGATCAATTAGACTTCGCGTGGTGGCTAGGTAGATAAATAATACAGTAAAATGCATAATAGAAATTCAATTTTCAAAGGCTACTAACCAATATATCACCAGACTCGACGGTAATATTGTTCTCGATTGGATAAAACATTTGTGGAGTCATGGGATCCCTTTTTCCTAGCAGATCCCATTTTTGTTCTTCTTTGTTAATATTCTTTACTCTGTAACCTGCTACGACTTTACCTACGAAAAAGCAGAAATTCAACAATATTATTTTTGTGATTCAGGTATAGACATAATATTTAGTTTTATATATAAAATGTGTAACACATACCAAGTTCGTGGGTGTGGACCCTGTATGCGAACGGGTGTATGACTTTCCCAACCTCGAAGAGAGGACACGATGTTTCCATGTGTTCGATAGAGTTCGGGGGTATTCTACCGTTTGTAGCTAGTAAGTATACTCCAGCTTGTTTATTTAATCTGTACACAAAAAAAAAAAATGCACAAGTCATTAGTAGCACTTTAAAAAAAACTATAAATAAGAGGAGGGTATAGGTACCTATTTTAGTACTATATATAGAACATTTAGGTGATATAATACCAAAATTATGTTATGTAGTATTATTTAGCTATAGGTCTTTAGCAGCAATAAGCACCAAACGCCAAGTGGTACTTAGTACTTCATGACTCATAAATTATATACCTAGGTACAGTGGCGTATTTTGGGTGATTTCTCGGGGGCGTCAACATTTATTGAACCTCACAAACAAAATTTTTAGTATTATTTACTAATGTAAAAAGACATTGAATTAATTTTTTAACAAATTAATATGTTAGGAATTGACAAGAAGTTTTACATTTGATAAAAATAGTATACTTTAAAATAA